GTTGGGGTTTGTAACTTGCTTAGCTTAGTGGAGTTAACAAATGTATTGATCTTTTTTATTGGTCTTTGAAGATTTCTTATGTGGAGGATTAGTTAGGTGGATGTTTTTTGAGAGGTGATTGCCAATGGACAGTGAAGATCATAGAGGGCAGGGGTTCATGGTTTTATGCAAATGGGAGATGTTACATTTCTGCTTTGGATTCCATTGCAAAGTTATTAAAGAAAGAAGCTGTCTTGGAATGAGTTGGACTGTTAAGGATAAGGAGATCATTTTTGGGTTTAATTAGCGGAAATAAGAACAGAAGTGCTGCTTTCTCTAAATCAGACTTGTTGAGCAATATCTGGCTGGTTACAAGGACAGAAAATTGTTCACAGCAGGTGATGGAAGAGCAAAAGTAAGGTAATTAGAATATGAATGGAGTTAATAGTTATAAATTTGAGAGCTTTGAAGGACAACCTGTATATTTGAACTCTTGCAGTCCTTGAAGTTGCAAAATATTTGATGCTTTTCAGTAAATTTTGTGAGTGCTGAATGTGAACAGCAAGTGGTTGGTCTCTGTGCCATTGACAAGCAAGGCAAGTGATTTCATTTCTAGGACATCTATTAGCCATCTTTAGGAGGGAGTGAAGATACAGGTTACTATTTGGTTTTCTCTAGAGTTGGTTTCCTCCATCACATATACCTAGCCTATCTTACCTTTTTTTGACATGTATTTTTTCCCTTTAAACTCTATGTTAAGAAAATAAGAAAGTTGTTTGCATGTCTTCTGCAGCAAGGGTGCAGTTACAGTTGGTCTGCCCCCAGCTTGGGTGGATGTATCTGAAGAAATAGCGGCAAATGTGCAACGTGCACGGACAAAAATGACTGAGTTAACAAAGGCTTATGCAAAGGCTTTAATGCCTTCATTTGGTGATGGTAAAGAAGATCAACGTAATATTGAAGGTCTTACCCAGGAAATAACTAATCTGTTGAAGAAATCAGAGAAGAGATTACAGAAACTCTTTGCAGGCGGTCATTCAGAGGATTGCAATATCAGGAAAAATGTCCAGGTAAGACTTTGTGCTATAAGATTTCCTCATGCTATTGGGGAAGGTGGTAGTTATTGCTAGAAGTCTGGTGGTTAGTTGTTAATTAGAATTCTTTTTGGAGCTTTGAACTCCGGCATCAGGCATTCATATCAGAAATATGTCTGTATTCTCTCAAAATAAGTCACTATTCTGGTAACATGTGCTTATCTTGGCATTTCAATTTTTTTTTTTTTGTGGCAGCGCTCACTCGCTACAGACCTTCAGAACCTTTCAATGGAGCTCCGTAAGAAACAGTCAACTTATCTGAAGCGCCTCAGGCAACAAAAAGAGGTTTGAAAAAAATCCTCTAAAACACAACTTACGGTATTGATGTTTAGTTGTAGTCAACACAAATTTCCACTTTAACCTTATGTAGCCCCTTTTCTTTTTCTTTTTTTTTTTTTGGGCTTCTGTTATGTACTTCCTTTATTTGGATGAAATATATAAATCAATTTTCATGTACATTCTTTGCATGAATTGCTGTTTTCATTATTTTGCTAATTTTTTTAATTTACAATGCAGGGTCAAGATGGGGATGATTTAGAGATGAATCTAAATGGAAGATCTAGAATGGAAGATGATGATTTGGATGACATGGTATTTGCTTGTCACTATTGATCTTCTATTGGATAATCACAGAGATTATATCTGCCTATATAATTTGAACTCTGAACACAACTTAAGGATCTTTACGTCAGTTGCTGGACATTTAGCCCTAAAGTTTGCCCAACTGCCCTTGTCTCTTGTTTACATGATAATACTGAGCTTCGATGGTCAGCTTTATGTTGTTTCCTGATTTAGTGGTTGAAATCTGATTGTATATAAATATGTTATTTAGGTCTTTAATGAACATCAGATGGCAAAGCTCAAAAGAAGTGAGGCATTTACTGCAGAAAGGGAAAGAGAGATCCAACAGGCAAGCACACTAAGTTTGTTTTTCTTGCTGATTCTTTTAATGCATTTCTAGTTACTTCAATATAAATTATTCCTATATTAATTTTCTTTTGTAGGTTGTGGAATCTGTAAATGAGCTTGCTCAGATTATGAAGGATCTGTCAGTCCTTGTGATTGACCAGGTAAGAATCCATCTCACTTCTATAATTAGTTCAGAAACATATCCAAGGTCCAGAATCATTAATTCAAGTGTTATCCTCAAACAGGGAACCATTGTTGATCGGATAGACTACAACATTCAGAATGTTGCAACCACAGTTGAAGAAGGCCTCAAACAGCTGCAGAAGGTTTTCTTTCTTGTAATCATTTAAATCTAGAATCTCTTCTGAGTATGTCTCTTACAGGTTTATATGCATTGAGCTTGCAGGCAGAAAGAACTCAAAAACAAGGAGGAATGGTGATGTGTGCTACTACCCTTGTTATTATGTGCTTTGTCATGTTGGTCCTCCTAATCCTCAAGGAGATAATCGTGTGATCCACAAGCATGCTCTTCCCCTTCTCACTTTCATTCTTATCACCTGAAGGCCCCCTTCTATGTAACACGATTCATAGTCAGTTTCTGCCGAACAAAAGGATGCAGGAGTTTTGAAGTTCCCCACTTGACACATACAAGATTAAAAGACATTATCTACATATTTGTTTTCTCTCATTGTTCTTTTGAAGAATTTCTGGGATGAAGGTGGCCGGCGCTGGTTGCTTGCTTATGAAGGAATGCACCAAAGTTTTATAGGGCTTATGCATTTGATTTTGTTCGTTAAGCAGGGTCCTGATAATGATTCTTTGTGGGAGTTTTCTAGCTGATTCTGACGCCCATAAACGAGACTGCATATTAGTTTGTATCAATTTTTTGGATAGGATAAACTATGGCATATACATCATCAGATTTGTTATACAAATTCTTGTTCAACATCTTGAAGAATTCCCATGGACTGACACTGTTCAATTCGGAAAGCATGACATGGATATGAAATTTTATCACCAGATTAGATTAATGGTGGAACAATATGGGGTCCAATGTGGGTCACAATCACAAACTCTGTAGCGTGGCTGTTTGGGATTGCTGTTTCTTCCTTTTTTCTGTTTGGTTTATTTTTTCTGCATAAGGTTAAATGCTCATTTTGGTCCCTCAATTTTATTGGTTTGCACATTTTTGGTCCTTAAAGAATTTTTTGCACGTTTTTGATCCCTCAACTCTAAGAAATGCACAATGTTTGTCATTCCGTCAATTTGGGCCA